ATTGCAAGCCCAAGGGCTCCGGGGGGGCGGCGGACTTTCCCCGGGTTGGGGGGGGGGCGGGGCTTTGGGGGTGGCGCTGGGGGGGAGGGTCCTTCCCCCCCGCCAGGGGAAAAGGGCCAGGAGAGGGAGGGGGAAGGGGAAAGGGGGGGGGGGGGGGGGGGGGTGTACTCATAGTCGTTCATAGTCGTGCATGCCGTAGTCGTTAGACCATTGACCTCGCAGTAGGGGGGGGGCGCAATAACGATTGGACTGCAGCGGAAGTTGCGGCGTTGTTTTGCCGTAGTGCGTTTGCTTGTCGGCAGGGTAAGGCCGTGCGCCACATGGCTCGTGCAGCGCGCCATGAGAGATGCCCCCCTGTCTCTCCCATCCACAGGGGTTTCGCAGTTCACCCACTGGTCGGCGGTTCTAACTTCGGTTTGATCTCGGTTTTTAGGTTTGTGCTAACCGTTTGTCTTTCTTTCGAAATACTCAAACGTTTTTGTTCCCACCTCACGAACCACTTTGGCGACTGGGAGGTGCCGTGCCGATATAGCCCCGAGAGTCTTTGTGTTATTGCTGGTAGAGCCGTGTGTCCTGGCTTGGGTCCGACTCCGACAGTACTCGCTCGCCCTCCGTCGCTTCTTGTTCCGTTTTTTTTTCCCTTTTTCCAAAAAGAGGGAGCACTTCATGGCGGCCGCGGACGTGGCGACGGCGGCCGCCCTGCAGCTCATGTCGATGGCGGACAAGGGCAAGGAGGAAGGCGTTCTCGTGGCCACGGTGACGGTCCCAGTCAACGCGACAACTGGAGAGGTACGCACGAGATACAAACTGTGAAAGCGAAGGCCTATCGATCCTTTTAGTGCTTTTGGATTTTAAAGCTAGAGGTGTCAAAGAAAAAATGCCGCAGGGGTAGCTTGTGGCAGCCAAGCGTTCGTGACGACGTTGCTTGTGTGCGTTCTTCGATGTGTGCTCGCTCAGCTACCCATCGCATTTTTAGTGGACGGTGATGGTGACTACCGCCGGTGACAGTTCGCGTCACTCGAGAGGGTGTCAATTGGCTTTGCTTTGAGCCAATAGTGTGGCTGGAATGTTTTCGTGCGTAACGTTTCGTGTTTGCGCGGTACGGAACGCGCCGCCACTTAAAGAACAAAGGGGTTAAGATGTTGAGCCTCAAGAATATCAAAAGTTTTTAAGAACTTGAGCACCATTTGTGAGCTCGGATAAGAACTACTACGCTAAAACCTATGGAGCGACCATGTCGTAGCATGACCCCAGGAATACGGTAAAGAACCCCACCCTCGGCCGAACTAAAAAGAGGTTCTCAAGTGGTGGTGCGTTCTGTAGTGATTGGAAATTTCATGTGTTGGTGTGTAAAGTTTTCGTGTTTGCCTCCGTCATCTGTTTCGGTGACAACACCCGTTGCACGGCAAAAAGCGAAATTTGAGCAACCGGGTGGGCGTTGGATTAGATATTTTCATGTCCAACAAGCGTGCAGGCTCAATCTTCCCTTGCACATGTACTCAAATTTACGCCTCCGCTGTTGACCTTGTGCGCCCGCGAACACCCGCACACACACACACAAAAAAATAGATGGCGACGGAAGCTTTCAGCGTCAGCAACCAGACCGTGCAGATGTTCAGCGAGGGGGTGCTTGGGCACCACCAGCCCGAACCAACCGCGGGCAGGTGAGGACACTACTGTTGCAGTAAAAAAGAACACGGTGTCTTTTTGCCATCGTAGCGCAATTGTGATCCAGTACAAGGTCGCATGAAGTTGGCGCCGGTCGCCCTGTTCAAGGCCGGTGAAGTCGAGTGACACCGATGGGATATTCGAGCTGTCTCATTCATGCTCTCGAGAAATGTCATTGGTTCGGTAGAACGCCCGTCAGCCCAGATCCCTTGGCACCGTCGTGCGGCTTTAATCAGGGCAGCACAACTAGTTTATGCGTTTGTTGTGACGCGCTCAAGTCAAGCCAGGACCGAGCGAGTCGCAAAAGTACCTCTTTTCTTAAATGCAGGTGCTGCTGCTGCGCGTCGGTTTGCGCGGGGCGGTTTCTGCCATTCCTGCGTTTTTTTTCACTGCTGAGACTTCGTTTTTTTTTTCTAGTCCGTGACGCCGCTGCGTTGTGCCGCCTAGCTGGTAGACCAACTGGCCGTGGCGTAGCGAGCCTAGTCCCGTTGATCCTGCGCTCATCCTGACTGCCTGCCGTCTGTTCCGGCGTCGTCAGCGGCGACGGTAGCAGCTTTTGGTGGTGTGGCCTATAGCCCCACCTCCCTCTCCTGCCCTGTGCACAACACGAGAACCGTTGTTGATATGTAGTACTTCCCCCCCCAACCCCCCGTGCTTTCCGTGGCTTGCGTTGGCTCGGCGTCAGGGTAGCAACTACGGCGGCGGTAAAGGAGGGAAGCAAGGAGACAACGACACCGGAGACGCTCGGACTGATCTGTAACGTGGCTATCGTTCAGCACGAGGGGGTGTTGCAGACGAGGTGGGACCGGGGTACGGCGCCCCTCTGGATGTTTTTGTGTCGTTCGCTCGCTGTTCGTGCTGTGCAGTGGGCGGTACGCGGGGGGCCTGTTCTGCCCAACGGGCTTGTGTGGTTTCCTCAGGAATATAGTAGGCTGCGTGTGTTCTGAGCGTTAGTTCCGACGGTAAGTGTAACGTATCTATTTGTCTCTCTTTCTCTCTTTGTATCACTCTGTCTCTGTCTCTCTCTCCCCCCCTCTCTCTGCCTGCCTCCGTCGATCTCCCCCTTCGGTTTATCTGTCTGTCTGCCTGTCTGTCTGTCTCACTCTTCTATTCCCTCCCTCTCTCCCTCTGCCCCCCCTCTCAATCTCAACCTACGCCGGGGCTGTGACTAAACGCACAGATTCCCCTCGGCGAATCGATCGAAGGCAGCGTCCCTTTCTGACCTCAAGGAGTGCCTCTTCGGGAAGATTGGATCCAAGGCTGCAGCAAAGAACCAGAAGAAGCAAAAGCAGCCGTCCTTTTTGAAGCGTCTGTCGGACTTTCAGCTCCTGTTGTTTTTGTCTCGTCAGGTGTGTGTTGTGTGTGTGTGGGGGGGCTCGCCTTAGAATGTAAAGTTTGACACGTCTGACGACGGCTGCCGGACTTTCAGCTCCTGCTGTTTTTGTCTCGCCAGGTGTGTGTTACGGGGGGGGGGCGGGGGGGGCGGGGGGGCGTATAATATATAGTTTGACACGTCTTCTTGCAGGAACGAAACGCTTTCTTCCGCGGTGGTGGTTTTCCTCCGCGGTGGCGATCTTTGCCGATGCGTTCATACCCTAGGTGACGCAAGATATCACCCTCCCCCAGACCGATTTTCAAGGCTCGGTTTTTGTCCACGATGAAGAGGATATGAAATTAAACCTCGCGTTTCGGAAAGCTCTCGATGAGACGGCGCCAACGCCGCGCTATTTTTTAGCTCCGCCGCTCTGTCTGTTGTGGAGTACTCGGGTTTTAAAAGTCGGTCCAGGGTATGTGGTATATCTCGGTTATCTCGGTGAGGTGTGACTACGGCATGAAGCACATCACGCCCAAAAAAACATGTCTGGCAGAGACGCGGGGAGTCTCTTCTCCTCCTCCTCCTGCCCGCCTTCCCTTTCCGCGTGCCCTGGCTGACGCTCGTGTCGCGCTGTGTGTATCGCGCGCGCTCTCCTTTCTTCTCAGATGGGGTTCTCGAGAGATTTCGAAGAGCTGTGCTCCGTGGTGCAGAAGCGAGACGGAAAGAGCCCCGCCCTGGACAAGCTCAAGGTCGTCCTGGAAAATCTCTGCGACGCATGATTGTATGTAGATACCGCCCGGGCAGCTACACTCGGACGGGTGGCGCTTCGCGACAAAGGGGGCGGGCGGTACTCGAGGGCAGAGTAGCATCGGCGGCTGCGGGTGCTTGAGGCGGCTGTAAGCGGGGCGGTGCGGACTTTGCGGGTGCGTTTGGGTTATCGGAACCAGCTCTGGAGCTTCCGCACTTTGTGTGTGTCGTGCGCTGCTGCAGTGGGTGTTTCGGTGCATGGTTGACAAGGAAGGATGCGCTCTGTTCGGTCGCGGGGACAGAGGAGTTGGCTGCTACTGCAATACATACCTACCAGGATGTTTGCCGTGTGCGGGCTGACTGGCGTGTTGCGATATCCGGCGCGTTGCTGCGACACAGACGTTGTGTAGAGAAGCTGTGTTGGGTATGCATGCGAGCGGGTGGGGGAGCAGAGTTGCCGCCGTGCATGGCGCGGACGAGGCTCAGCGGTGCACAGCTAGAGAGATAAGTGTTACGGTCGATAGTGTGTGTTGAAAGGAGCAGTTTGGCGCACATGGTGGCGTATTAGTCTATCTAGATGAATGGTAAATTGGATGTCTTCGGTAGAGTATAGGCATGGGAAGTGCGTTGTTCGTGGTTGGCACGCTGTCAGATTTCGTCGAGTCGGATGCATGCGTATTTTTGCGAAGAAGGTGGTTGTTGTTGTGTTCGTTTGTGCACCTGGTTGCGCTAGTGATGTAACTCCGTTAATCTTGGTGGGAATAGCCGAAAAATCGTGCCTTGTGTTTTCGTTCGAAAATGGAAGAAGAGGGTTGATGCCCGTAGTTGCTGCGTTCATTCACGAGGTATTTCATTGAAAACGGCATGGGGGCAGGAACAAAGTAGCCAAAGACTAGCTTCCTGTACACATCCATACGTGCCCTGACTTGCCCCAAGTTCCAATTTGACGGGCCGATAGCTCACCGTTGCATTCATATACGGTCGTGATAGAGCCCACGAAGGTTGACATTAAAACCATTAAGTACGGTGCTTCGAGGTATATATTTTTTTCGTTCGCCGGCAAGAAGAACTGAACGAAATGGAGTGCAATCTATAGCCTAGTCAGCGCGAACGTACAGAAGTAGTTCGACGGAGGGCTAAAGAGGTTGATGTCCGCAGAACAAACGTCGGCAGTGTAGTGGGCCTTACAGAGATAAAACACGACCGCCGAAGTCACCATCATCGTGTGTGCAGCATCTACTACTGTACCACCTGCACGGTCTACTGTAGACATCCCATGAAATGAATCCAACACTCCATCATTACTTGAACGGCTCCTTTTGCTTGTACATGTAGAGAGAGTTGCCTTCTGGCACCAAGCCCTCCAAGGCATTTCGATGTAGAACAATCACTGCTGTAGATTGCATCAAACAACATCCCTCGTTCTCGAAAGGGTAGTCTAGACGTCTAGACTCCTGCGGCTTCGGACGTATTAGTCTTTTCAGTGAGACTGTTGTGTGAGTATTTTCTAAGAACAAGCGCTGCAGGGAGAGGAGACTCCGTACAACATCTGGCGAGCTACTGACGGCATCCGGAGAAGCGGCGAGTGCCCGGCTCTTTGGCTCAGCGTAGCCAACCGCTCATGTTTCGTTGAGCACATGAATATCGACCAAACAGTGTTATATGTGTACTGTATAGATATCAACTTATTTGGATGGATCAACTTGGATGGTGTCGGATCGATCATACAGCACTTCTTTTCTTCACCCGCCCGGAAAAGGTAACCGTCGACACCCTTGTTTTTTTTTTTTTTCGTGTGCCGACATCGTGCAGAGTCAAACTGCGTGCAACAGGATGCAGAGACCTGTACGCTGCACAGACCAATAACATGAGCTCACCAGAAGCATCAGCTGCTTACCTAGAGCGCTACAACTTCAAGGCGCTCATGGAGTGGCTGACAGCCAGGCGAGTCACTCCTGTTGGGAGCGTCGAACGTCGGCTCGGCCGTACAGTAGTCTAGGCTTGAGATTTGACTTGGGAAGCGTGTCACAAAATATGCATACATACGCAAAATACTGCTGTACAAGCATGCGAGTTCGAAACAAGCGTATCTACAGCAGTAAAGTGAAGTGGCTGGCCACCTTTCGAACGGATTCACGATCTTCAACCTCGTGCCGTTCATAGGTCAATATATCTACAAGTGCGTTGTGGGGGAGCACTGGTCAATATCAGTACAAAACTAGGAATGAGTATGTACCACATTGGAACCACACATGTAGACTATTGACTACATAGGGCCGTCTACAGCACAGCACATATACCGTATATGACACAAGATAACACACCCCCTTGGCCGATTTTCAAAGCTCGATTTCTCAACAGCAGGAAGAGTCACAGCGCCGAAAACGGCGGCGTTGGAACCGTCTCGTCGAGAGCTGTTCGAAAACGTATTGTTTCATTTATGCATCCTCTTCGTCGTGGAGTAATCGAGCTTTGAAAATCGGTCCAGGGGGTGTGTTATCTTGTGTCATATACGGTATCTGACTTTGGCACGTCTCTATCGTTTCTGCGTATGCATACATACATATGGAACATAAAAATGGGGGATATCCCATGGGCTGTCCGGCGAACAGATACATACGCACGCGCAGATGCCGTCTGTCCCGTTGATGTGTGCCGTTCGTTCCTCGCGGCAACATTACAACGCGCATACCGTCGTGGTAATTTTTTCTTTCTGCTTCTGTCACGCGATAGTCTACAGCTTTGTAGACCCCCCGGCTTATTTGGATGCTGATCGTTTCCAGCTCTCTCTCCACCCTAAGTTTTTGATTTGCACATACAAAACTTACTTTTTCACCATATGTACTCCCCAAACCCAAAAACAATTAATTAAATCAAACACCCCCATATATATATATAGTTTATTCTTTCCCTGACACCACCCATGGCTGGCTTGTGACCACGGAGGAAGGCATCCGCGTCAGTTGGACCAGTACGGACAATAGAAGTCATTGAGACGAGACCCAATGGTTTTGAAAAACTTTTGTGAGCGCGCCGATTAGTCTATTTTTTTTTTTACTCCCCAACACATGCGATAGTGTGCAACAGCAGTGCCATGAAAAACGAGGAGGCAATCGAACATATACCAAACACGCGGATCGATGGTAGACTGTATGAGGAGTCAATAATTGTGCGTCAGCTGTGCATATGTACGAAGAACCAACCTCTCTTTCGACATTAAGACTATTGTACGTACGTTGTCGTATTGTGGGCATTCGTCCAGTGTTGTGCGCGGTGTGCGGTGGCGCGCCGATCGAGTCTGTGTGCTGATGGTGATTACGGTTCGCTATCTACAAAAGACGCGTGCACGACGTAAAAGAGCATGGGTCAACTGGTACCTACCCATTGACGTCCTACAGCAAGCATTCATTTGCCTCGGATATGGCCTTGTACTATGAGCAACGCTGCCTTCTTGTCCCTAGACTATCAGCCCAGCAATTGATCGCAGTGCGTGCGACTGGCGATGCCTGTACTCTCCAAGCTCTCCTTCTGACTGCAAAAGCTGTGTCCGTTCGTAGGTGGCGGCTTCTTGTCCGTCGTTCATATAGCCCTGAGTTGGTGCTGGTTGGTATGGGTGCAGCGTTTTCAATCTACACGCACAGCCGAAACCATGAAAGGCGATCTCACAAGAATAGCTCGTGTGTACATGGTCGTTGCACGCTGTACCTTGACGTTTGGAACCCCCACTCTGCATGGAATGCCTCGCATGTTGTACAGTAGATAACCCACCCTTCGTATCCGCCAAACGTGCGGCAGATCTATCCTACACCGCCCGGACGATCCGATGGTATTCTGTCGAGACTTGCTGGAAAGGAGCATTGGAGAACGGGACGGGAAAACGGCCGCGTACGACCCGACCTGCCCGGCTCGGTTGCTGAAGGTAACTGTTAACTGGACCAAGCAATGCGGGTCTGTTTCCTTGGCAGGCCTATCGGCAATAATAAGACCAGGCGAATGTTCTAGGCAAGCATACGAAGGCCAGCCTACATTGACGGGTCTCCACTCTGATAGTGTATCAGCCGCGTTCATCGGAAAGACGTCGACGCACACAAACGTTTTCGCTCGAGGAGTGCCCGCTGGTGGTTGGGTGAGCGAGTGTCCACCGTCTTTCGTGCCATGGGGGCTGGGGAGTAAGGACAGTCATCGGACATGTGACTCGAATCGGATTGTTGCAATCAAGTCCTCCACGTTCGAAAAAAAGGGATTTGCCGCTAGCCCTTGATCTCGAACCACACTCACTGAGAAGAAAGCCTCGAACGAAACCGCACGTTCCGTCGCAATATCGAAAAAAACAAAGGGATGCGTTTGTCTGCACAAATGGCAACGCCACAAAGATGGACGAACCAAGGTTGTTTGATATGCCGCCCGCTTGTCCTTGCTGCTGAAGCTATGTTTATTGCGGTACCTGTCGGGAGGCCGTGCCCAGACACAAGCAAAATCCACTGCCGCGTTCACGGCAACGGACATTTCACTTACCCGCGGGCCACGAAAGCGTCACCTGTACGGACTTTACCATTTGACACGCTAATTGACGCTTTTAGGAAATTATGATGCTTTCCGTAACCCATCTCCTAGCACCGAACCGCCGACAACACCACAACACGGCGGCAAACACACACACACGCAGGAGTGCTACGACGACGCGATGAACGCGGCGGACGAGCACGGCATCATCCACCCGGAGGCATGCCCCCACCCAGCCACCGGGAGAAGAGTGGACGGTGATGTCTCCGCCGCCGCCGCCGCCGCCGGCACGGGTGGGGCCGCGAAGGACACGACAAGCAGCAGCAGCAGCGGCGACGGCGGCCCGACCGGCAATCCGGCACCAGCACCCGGCGACGACTCTTCTGTCCAACCCGTGCCCGCCGCCACGGGCAGTCACACCCCACCTGCACCAGCAGGAGCAGGAGCAGGAGCAGGAGCAGGAGCAGGAGGAGAAGGAGACGAAGCGCCCGGGGATGTTGGGCAGGGAGCGTCAACGGGGGTCGGGGGGAGTTCGGTACGTCAAGCCGCGGGCGAAGTGATTCGACCGCTTCTGCTCGGGGTGATTCGGGAGCTGTGTGAACTCGAGAGACCTGAGGTTGCCGCGGCGGCCGTGGTGGCGGGAGCGTGCAAGGTGACGCGATTATTCTGGTCAACGTAAAAAAAACAAATTCCGGGATGGGAGAAGGCGGGGAAGAGGGCAGAGGTCGCTCGCGTGAGGGATCGGGTGTATACGAGTATGGAGCAACGTACCACGATCCGTCCGGTTACATCAAACAACGAAACCGGCGTCCTTCTCAGGAGTAAACCCATCACCCCCATCGCCATTCGGGGCCCAACGTAGTGTTCTTGCGGGTCTGAACCCAAACTTCCGGAAGCCGTCGTTTTGTCACCTGTCACCTGCACGTGACGGCAGCACACCTCGAAACTTCTTCTGCTCCAATCCCCTCCCCCCATGCAGCAGTTGTTATCGTAGTGTTGTTGTGTCCTCGTGCACCATCAGAGCGTTTATGGCAACACGGCTTCCACCTGCTACACCGTTACCAGCCGCTAGCCTCTGAAGTTCTCCTCGGGGAGTCCTTCCCGCAGCAGGGGAAACACGGTATGTTGCGTACGCGTCAGAGACAAGTGCTTGGTGCCGTCGCTGTAGGCACCTCCTACCATCTCCCATTCAAGAAAAACAGCCAGCGCAACGTACAGCACGAGACATCTCTGTCCATTCATTGTCGTCGTCCTCCCGGTTTCGTCACCTCTCGTCCCTGTGCTGCAGGCCGTCAACGCCGGTCGGGCCGCGCTGTTTAAGCTGATCGGCGAGGACGGCACCTTACAGGAGGTGAAGTACTACATATCTAATCCGTCGCCCGAGCCAAGATAGGGTCATCCAGCTGGACTTGCGGTCGAGTAAATCGCAAATTCCCGCTAACAGTTTGTTTCGAGAATCAATGGCGGTGCTGCTCGAGTGACCAATGCATCAGGGTCCGGGGTTCGTTCTTGAATGTAGGAGTGCGGCCAATGCCTCGTTTGTACCGTTGACGGACAACGTGTTTTGTGGGGTAGGTAAACATCACGTTTTGAACGATGACGGCCCACGAATGATGACGTCGCCCCGCCCACGTGTCCAACCTATCAGAGGAAGTGGCAATGAACTACTCTAGTTACATACTTGGCTGCTTTGGGATAGGGAACGTCTTGTTGGTTCGGACGACGTTCCAAGACATTTGACGACTCCGGCGCGTCTTGACCGGGAGAAAAGTCCGGCTGCTGCATCTCCGTGTGTCGACTGCCAAACCTCGTCCGAACGGTACGGGGGGAAATATACGCGTCGGCTGAATACCGGCAGCCAGTTTGTCCTTTGCAGCCACCCACCATGGCGTGCGGGATGGCTAGAAAACCAGCTCTAATGGGCACCTGCCCTAAACTTAGAACATCGGGTGCACAGCCGACCAAGTCATGTAGCAGAAAACGAGGTTCCCTCTGTGAATATGAGTGTACGTGTCAGTGAAAATAATGTTCCTCGTGAGCCTTCTGGAGGCATTGTGGTGCCCGACTCGCCACGTGCTCACCGTCGGCTTGGTTCAGATTAGGCCAGGGGACAAACGACGGCATCACCCGTTTGATTGAACACGTCATGGTGACACAGCAACCGTGCGACTGACCTAACCCGCCGGACCTCTAACCGCAGATGGGCAGCGGAACCTCGAACCAGCGGATCGTCGAGCACGGCAAAGGCTTGGTGGGGCGGACGGCGGCGGCGGCGGTTGCAGCAGGAACGGGGGCCGAGGGGCGTGGTGCTGGGGCCATCCTGACGACGAAAGATCCGTCCAAGGAAGATGGGTTTTGCGCAGAGGTGGACCTGCCGCCTTGTGAAGATCCGGCGCGAGAGACAGCAGATTGGTGAGAGCAAGAGATGAGGAGCGTAAAGCGCGGCGGTCTTGCGACAGATGTGTCATGGGGTTGTGTGCTTTGTTGACGCTCGATTCTATCTTACCACCGCCGGGTTGTCTCAAGTTTGGGGGAAGTTGGAGAGAGAACGATGAACCCGCGATCGTTCGATTGGTAGTTGGTCGTATTCTTCACATGTGTCACACACGCAACACTACTTCATGGCTTTGACAGATGACACGTGGGAACACCGATCTATGCAGGTCAGGTTCCCACAAGACGCACGCCGCACCTCGCTACCGCGGTCGTACCTAGGACAACGGTGTCCCCTGTGCACCTCTATGAAATTCCTTCGGTCCCGCGTTCAACCCCGCTTTTGCGAGCAGGAGCACGTCGGGACTGATCTGCGGTCCTGTCACGGACGGCTTGGGCGAAACTTGGGGGGTGCTGGTCGTGGCGGAGCCTTTGGGCGACGGGGGCGCGTTCGACGAGGAAAAAGTCGACGCCTTCAGGTCCGTTCGTCTCTATTCCCCTTTCCGAATCCTTGCGGGGCAAAGACCAAACGACTACGGCATGCTACCGCCGCAAGCCAACGGGGGTTGTGGGAGTTTTTTTCCCGTGTCTCACGAAATGCCCGACCACTCTCCTTTTTCGAGCTGGAACCATACCAAATCTCCCTCAGATAGCATAGCTTTACCGCGAACCCTAACTGAACGTAAGCCCCCTCTGTCAGGTAAAAGGGGCTGGCCCATTAGTCCGCACCGACAGTGTGGTCTATAGGACTAGCCCCACTAACACAGCAAATAAACGTCTCGCGGATTCGATTCCCGGGACCCACAATGATTGCATTTACGCGCGCGCCATGCGTGAACAGGACCGTATCTACGATGGCTGCTGTATCGATGCATAACTCGGAGGTATACGGGCAGGGCCAGACCGGGTGCGAGAAGTTCCGAAACATGATCGAGGTCATCGAGGCCACGAACGACAACCTCGGGGTAAGCATGGGAACTTCCTGCTACTGTTGCGTGTTAGAAGGGCTGGCCGCTTCGCCATCTCAAACGATATTCCAACGGGAACATTGCCGTGCCCCACAGTACAGCGACAAATGGAGACGCGTGCCCACAGCCCTTGTCGGTTCCATAGCGCGTGGTAGAGGAGTTTCGATGAGTGGAGGATCGTCCTTTCCAGTCCGTGGAGGCCAAATAAAACACTAAAAGGTGTCCGAATCTTACTGCTGTACCCCTCGAATTGGTGGTTGTCTCATTTCGAGAATTCACAACAACAACGTCAGTGCTGGTAGCAAAACGTTGCGTCTTGGGAGGTCGACTTCGTGGACAACATCCATGAAAAAACGAAATACGGCGTAGGCAAGAATTCGATGTGGTGAACCAAGCGGCGCCTACAAGCTCCCTCATCTAGTCATTTCGTTGCCATCCGTCTCTCACTACGGTCACCACCACCACCAATAACACCATACCTACCTGTGACACGTGAACCTCACCGTCAATATTCCAGCAACAACCTCATACCCAATCACGCTAGCATCATCAGCTCCATCTCCCGCACCAGCATCAGCACCAACGACAACGCCACCATAAAGCCATAAGCACAAGCAGAACCGTTTGCCAGCAAACAACGCTATCAGCAACACCACCACCGAAATGGTAAACCAAGGCGGGGTACTCGACCAACCAACAATAAATTGCCGATTTCCCCCCAAGGTGAACCACCTGCTCTACACGATAGCCAAGTGCTTGCCGGTCATATGCGAGGCACAGAAGTGCACCTGCTTCCTCGTGGACGACGACAAGGACCAGCTGTGGGTAGTCCAGGGGGAGGTCAATATGAGGGTGCCCAAGAACAAGGGTATCGCGGGCGCGGTCGCCACCTCGGGGCACGTGAGTGAACGCAACCCCCGAGGCTTGCTATAAACGTTTGCGGGGGGGAGTTGCGGATGGAGGCTTTCCGTCTCGCATGCACGACGCCGAGGGTACCGACGAACACCAGTATTGAGACATAGGTGTATTTCTGCCGCGGGAGAGAAGGACCAAAGGAAGATGTCAAAGGGGGTTGTTGTAAGGGGGCTTGGAGCGTGCCGAGGGAAACTGGTCCCGTCCCGACTGGTGGATTCATTTTCTGCGCGATAAAAATGCTGGCGGAGAATGGATGAACATTTTGACACTGCTTGCACGAACTCACGTCAAGACAACAGTTCGCCCCCAAAGCTTCGTTTGGATGTATGCTCTCTCACTCATCTTGACGCCGTATACGTTTCTCGCACTAAAAAAGGCGGAGAACATTTCCGACGTGTACGCCGATCCTCGTTTTAACAAGGAGGTGGACTTGGAAACGGGGTTCCAGACGCACTCCATCCTCGCCATGCCCGTGAGGGGAGGGGAAGAAAACAAGTCAGTGAAGCACGTAGCACTACATACCTACAAAGTTTCGCGTTCCCCCCGCTCCTATCATTGTGGTTGTGTTTACGGGAACCATTTTGTCGCGTGCGCAGTTCGCTCTCTGGCAATCAGAAAGCGAAGTCGATATGGGGCACTTCAAGGAGCAAACAACCAGTTGGGCGCGCTTGGTGTATCGTGGACGGTCGTTCGCTCTGTCCTGGCTATGTGCGAGGCGCAAGCGATCAAAAACAACGTGTTGCTCGAGGTATTTAGTTTGCGCAGAGCAGCTGCGTAGAAGCACCATCCTCAGGAAGGCCCACGTGATCCGTTGACGTACTCCCTCCGAAACACAACAACACCGTCAACCAGACCCAGTACGTTTCGTGATGGCACCACCTGTACCGCATCAGGGTGATTGCAGTGGTGCAGCTGATCAACAAGCAGGGGAGGATGCATGAAAGCGGCCGTCGCGACTCTTGCACCGGCATGCACTTCACTCCTCAAGACATGGCCATCATCGGAGCCTTCCTGTCTCTGCTCGGCCCCCGCATCTTCGCGTCCAGCATGCTGCAGCCGAAGCGCAAAATGCACATAAAGGTTTTTTTCTTTTGTCGAAAAGAGAGTGAAATTTACGCCCCCCTCCTCGCCTGTCCTTCAAGTTAGCATCCAATCAGGTACCGAGGAAATCACTCCGGTCCCATATGCCGACTCCCTCTCAAATGTTTATCCTCTCCATTCTCAATACGTGCCACCGATGTTCACGGTTGACAGCGATTGGTTTGATTCCATCACCTACCCGTAGCCTGTTGTTTGTAACCACCTATGAAGGGGCAGAAAACTGCGGGTTCGTTGTGTGAGCGGCGCTCTATAGCGTAATTACCATTAGTCTATGTGTTACTTCGAACGTAGGATTTTAGCCTATCCTTATGATCTTGCTGTCACCTCCGACGGGGTCTCGCTTGCGCTCGAGTGCCGTGGGGAGAAACTTTCTCAAAGCTAAATGTGTACAAAGCTGTCGTACCCGATTGTCACAGTGTGCCATGCTTACGTCCGTTAGGGGGAAACGCTTTTAAGTGCTAGTGGGGCCCGAACCACCCTTCGGGGTACGGTACAGTAGTAGATGGCCCCTTCCGCCGGAATCGCCGTACCTTTTTATGTAGAGTCCAATTCCACCGATTCTCTTGCGCCTCTCAGCGCGTCGCGCCCAATCAAAATGCGTGCGCACCCAGGTGAATAAAGTCGGCGGCGACGAGGAAGCGTTTCCCGAGAACCAAGGCATCATGGACAGAATGAAACGAAGGCAGAAGTCGACGGGCTCGCTCTTGATTGGGCTGGATGTTCAGCGATTCGAGGAGAACGAGAACGAGAACGAGGACGAAGACGAGGAAGCGGCGGCTGACAACGACCGTGAAGCCACGTCTAGCCTGGGAAGCTCTTCCGTCCAGTCCAAGTAAACGAGCTTTGAAAACAGTGGAAAACCGTCGACATGTGTTGTAAGACAGCCAGCCGAGAAGTTTCTCTGGAGTGGCTACTTTGGCACCTCTGATAGCAAAAATAGCGCCCTCCACTTTGGAATACCACATGCTCAAGCGTCATCATCTGACGTAAGGGGCGATGGGAAGCTGGAACATAAAACTGCAAAGTCCCCCCTTCAACAACAGCCCAGAGAGTCTTTTCTGACGAGCGCCAGCATTCTTCGGACCCACCCGTGGTTCGCACTGCTTCGGAGCAGTTGTGCAGAAAAATATTGGCACGAGGTTTCTTGGGCCATTGAAAGAGCGGTTTATCGAGTACCCGTGCGGAGAGCGCGGCAAGAGATGGAGAATGTTGGCTTTGTAGCAACAACTGTTTCGATCGCGATCCCGCCAGTAGCATGGGCTATGTAACCCGTGCAACCTGGTCACCTATATAGGCAAGACCAAACAAGAGCGAGAAAAACTGCGAGCGACGGTCATTCATCGGGATGAAGACACAAAAAGGCCTGTTCAGGAGATGATCATCTCCGGAGAACAGCTGTACGGCACCGACTCCTCGAGCAAAAGCCACGTCATCTGGGACCATGGCCGCAAAAGCCCTGAGACCGCACGCCGTACGCGCCCACACAAATCCTTCCTGCACAACACATGCGCGAAGGCGCCACCACGCAAGAACCCAACAGAGCCTATACATAGAGTAGCACGAAGCGCCTGTTCTCATCGTCAACTCAAGTCTCCATCTTTTGAGCCTGAAGTTCTTGACTCGCACGTTATGAAAGCAAAGGGGCACTCTTTTTCCGTGCTTGGCCCTTTTTGACAGGTGTCCGATCGACCTTCCTTGTGGAAAGGAGGAACCGCACTCACCCACCAACTCACAAACCAACCCCTGAGTGCGTACGTGTGCGCACCAATCACGCACACATCAACTCATGTGTTGATTATGTTGCACATCCCATGTGTTGTGCTACTGCGCCCTCCTCCCCCATCGACTGATTGGCTCTCGTCCGGGTGCTGCACGAACAAGGAGGCATGCAGGTGCCTACAAAAGGACGACCACGAATAGAAAACACGTAAATGCCCCGGCTTTGCTAAGCTTAGCTCGTCGATATCTTGTCGCCGACGCCTTCGGGCAATGCAAAGATTCGAAAGCGCGAGCCGCCTACAACCGCTGGATGGATCTTTTTCAAAACAACAGGGACCCCAACAGCCCAGCCAGAACAGATGTCACTACCGCCTGCCGAATGAGACGAGAGAGAGAGAGAGGGAGAGAGAGAGGAAGAGAGAGGGAGGCAGACAGACAGAAAGACAGTAACAGATACGGAAGGGACAGAGATAGAGGGCAGGGGGTGGAGAGAGGAAGAGAGAGATGATGATACCGAGGACGCGGGAAAAGCCGAGATCATCAGGCAGGCAGGCCACGTCTATCGTCAACTCTGCAAAGAAGCCACTAGAGCCTTTCGCTGTTCCAGCAGGGACGACGTACCGAAAGGCGTTGAAAAAGCAAAAACACAAAAAGAGATGGTTTCGTTGTGTCATGTTAAGAAAAATAAAAAAAAGGAACCAAATCTCTGCCCTTTCATTGGAAGTGTGCGGTCAAACATGTTATCGTTTTTTGGTGCTCAAACATGCCGCATAAGCGGGGGAATTTGAAACGTATCCGAACTACTACAGTACAGCGGCGTGTGTGTGGATACATTCAAATACGATGATGCCGTGGCCGAATCCGAGTACGTACGGTGACATTCCGAACTGGTCACGATACAAGGGTTACGTAAGGGGCATCTATCCTAAAGGGTGTCGAAGCGTCGGTGGTTAAGCCGCACCTTAGACGAATAGGCAGCAGTTACGTTTCTTCAAGGAGGCAGTCTCGGCCTGAGACCTGTCTACTAAAAAACTCAACCCCCCGGAAAAAGAAGAAAGAGAAGCCTGTCCACTGACATGACCGTATCACACGTATACTTGCCCACCTGTCGTTCGGATCACACGTGCCGCTATTCGGACGTAATGAGACCGTCAATCTGAGCTCAAACCAAGCCAAGACCCGATCGCGAGACAACAGCTGGAGAGACCGCGAGAAGACCCAGGACTACAGGGTCAGGCCGCAGTGAGTCGCCAGCGTTCGCAAAATAAGAGCAGGCGTTACTGGCATCTTTCGACCCCTATGACATGGAACCAAGCTTGACGAGAGATGAGTTTACTACTAACTCTACCCTGTACGGTGTGTACATGTCACGTAAGCTGAATGGAAAATTCCGTCTGTGCACAGTCTGTCAGGAGGAACACCCTAAACTCCTCCATCTTCAACCCTTGGCTAAGGAGCCAACACATAAGACAGCATCAACAACATAAGACAGGCTAAGCGGACTCATTTCGGTGGACGCCTTGACTCTCAGCACCCCCATTGTTGTCTTTCATCAGTTGAGCAACTCGAGGTCCATTGGGTTCTGGGAACCCTTGCGCTTGAAAAATCCTCTTTGCCATTGGATGCAGCTAACATCGGACTCAATGTTAGCTGCAGCCAAAATGGTGAAGGAGATGCTCGCAAGCGGAACGGCAAGCAGCACACAATGGACCGAGTTGCTGAACAGATGAAAGCCAACAAGGGGGACGAGACAGCATACACTTGTTGGAGCTTCCGCCGGAGAGCCCGATTACCCTGTCTTGTCTTAACGGTGCTGTCTTCTTTGGGGACTCCTCAGCCATGTACCTTCAGGTCGAGATGGAGGAGTATTGGGTTTTCGTCATGACAAGACGAAGCACAGACGGAATGGTCCGGCCAGTGGTCTGACATGTGAACAACGTGCAGGGTGTAGAGATGTTTCTCAAAGTCATCCCCGTCAAGCTTGGCAAGCACCGATACAAGACCAGACACCAAAATGCTCTCACCGACACCACGTTAACTTGCTCATTGGTGAGGATGTCTCGGCCGGATATCCTCTTCAAGTCTCCACTCGCGACCGCGGATGCCGACGGTTTCTCGACGATGACCTTGCGTTTCCTGGTTATTTTTCACGCGCGTGTGTTTTTTTATTCATTGCACAATCTTTTGCCTATTCATTTCGTTGTTTTGGTCTACGAGAAGGCACGTCGTTTAAACACAAACGCACACAAATGAATTGAACAATCCGGTGCTCTACGTGTGGTGACCGTGCGATCCCTCTTTCTCGCCGTCGTTCATTTCGCTGCCAAGCACACACGCACGGGCATTTACCAGGGAGAAGACCCAAATCGTCAAGTCTCTCATCCCATTGAGATATATGGAACGTCGCCCGCAGTATCTCACATGTATTGTGTGGGTTTTTCCTCTGTAACTGAGGTGATCAATCCGGGGTCACACAGCACGTGTTCTCGGCGGGGGCAAACCTGTACTGTTAAACGCGAGGAAGACACATGATAAAAAAACACCGAAATACAACCGGATCCAAGATGCGTCTAGTCCCCGACCGCACCTTTCGTTCTTCTTGTTTGTTCTGAACGTTTACGACCACACGGCACAATTGAAGATGCGCAGCAGCGAACTAATCAGGGGCATGTGTCGACCTGGACGAAGAGGGGCACAGGGCACAACAACAACACGACATCACCACCACAACACGACGCGCCGACCGCCTATCCCCCTCACGTGTCAAAGTACGACGCCTGAAGGACGGCGCCCATGAGCGAGTCGAGGATAGACCCCGCCAGCCCGCTCACGCCCCCGAGCAAAACCAGAGGGAGTTGCGAGGAGGAGGAGGAGGAGGAGGAGGAGGAGGAGGAGGAGGAGGAGGAGGGACTGCTGTGTCCAGCCGGGGATGGTGGGGACAGCCGGAAGGCCCAGCCAAAGCACAGGAAGCCTTGATGGTTCAAAACAAGGTCGTGAGAGCACGCAAAAGGAGGGGGGGAAGGGTGAAGGAAGGCGGCCGGTCCCAGGCGGGGGTGAAAGCACGCCGGTGTTTTTGGCGGCGGCGGCCTGTGCGTTTGCGATGGGTGTGCCAGGGTATTGGGGTTGGCGTGCTGAAGGAACACATTTCGTTTTCAAAGCTGACACGGGTGCCCTTTCACCGTGCTGCGGCCGGCGCTGCTGTTGCTGTTGCTGTTGCTGCTGCTGCTAAAATTTTAAAAGTACAGTACTGTTTTCTGACAAAATCGGGCGAAGGGGCGTGCTCTTCGTTGTTTGCCTTAGTCATCTTACCATGGACCATGTGTCACCCCTTTGCAGACAGAGCACAGGTCCTTTTCCTGCTGGAGATGGCACCAGGCCACCTAGTGGGCGGTATTACACCCCTTGTAACGACCAAACACACACAGCCGAAGCTGTTAACAGTTTTCGGTGGGTTCATATTCGTCGCTCCATGCAGCGAGCATAGGACCTGGTCGGGCACAACAAAACACCAACACAGCACACAACCAATTGCCGTTTTAACTACACCTACCGGCGCCCATCACCACGCCGGCGGCCACTGATGCCACCGTCCCCATCAGCGACATCCCTCCGTTCGTCCCCTAGACATGATGAAAACAACCGCCGTGGACGCGGAACCCAGGGGAGAAGCCGAGCCCCCCGCGGAAAAGAAGCATCGAAAGGACGCACGGACACGGAACAGACCGGAAGACAGACGCATGCGGTTGAGTGTGTAAGAGTCAGGAGCGGCCCTGTAACGAGATTGGCTCTCGATATATATCAGGTGCAAGATAGCTCGCGTCAATATTGGTGGTAAAAATAACGCCAACAACATTCATGGGTTATTTCCAGCGAGGAGAAGGTGGTGATCGTCAGGGAACGAGAGGGGAAGAGGAAGAGGGGGGTAACTTGGGCCGAGCCAGAAGCTCCTAGAGAAGTGCCCGGTGCTTTTGGACGTTGTTTCAGTCATCGAAACGCCCATCTCGCTTAAAAAACGGCTGCCCGCCCTCGAATGCTCTGCCGAACCGAGGTCCGCCACATACGGTGGCAAAACCGCCATATATCTACATAACACAAAGGGAGTCGACATTCTACATGTACACCAATCGACGCAGTGTCATCCCTGGAGACTAGCACCGACTCTGCGCTTGCGTACAGCAGGCGGCCGCAGAAGCACACAAGCAATTTTTCTCACGGGAGGAACGGTTTTCCATGGCTTGGTGATCAGCCGAGGAGGGGTTTTGCTGAGAACCCCGAGCTCCGAGCTCCTGCACGGACAGCAAGAAGGGGGAGGGAGGGGGGGCGCCACGTAAGGTCAATCGATCCGGGGCGAACAAGGCGGCACGTGTTGTACTCGGTGGCCACCGCCGTGGTTGTGCTCACGCATCGGAGGAGAAACGTTGGCTGGCACGCTCTCACTCCTCGTTACGCCATACGTCTCCGGCGCAGCTGTAAAACAGCAGAGGGCTTACAGTAGACGTGCTTGATTTTTCGAATGATACCTCGAGAGCAACAAGCACGGTAGCCCTGCCAAGGACAATACGCCGTTGCAAAAGAAACGCTGGGAGGCGCGTTGCGATCGTCGAGTTCGAGTCCTCACCAAGTGTCGCCCGCGCAGCACGCGTAGAACCCGAGGTAAGCGCAGAGCAGCGCTCCGGCCAGCGGGTCGGACTCGAAGTCCACCAGGCTGTCTCCTGCCCCCGTCACAACCGTGTGGTGCACCGCTAGGATGGTTGCGAAGAGGGAGCACGACAGCACCTGGGCGGCGCCGCGCTGTCCCCCTTCCTAACGAAAGGAAAAGAGCCAGCAGCAAAACGAACGTCGCCAAACGAAACGTCGCTAATGTTTGAGGGTTGGTGCGTGTCTCCTTTCAACCAACGGGTTTGAAGGTGTGGGTGCAGTAGAAGCCACACTGCAAATCGGTTCTAGGGGGTATGGCATCTTACGTTACGCAGCCTACCGGATACTTACCTTGTAGTCATCTGTGAGCTTGGCCTTGCGCTCGAAGCCGACTTTGGTGAGGATGGAGCTCGACTTGTAGAAGAGGATCAACGTCAGGCCAAGGCGCAGAGAGAGTCCGAGTGAAACCAACCCGACGAAGAACGCCTGCGTGTTGCAGCACAGTGCATCAGATAGCATAAACAAGAAAGGTGTGCGCGACGACACAGGTGCGAGTGAGCGGCGCGGAAACCGCACGGAAAGCGTACACATCGGTGATTTTATCCGCAGTATTCAGCCGTACCACCATGGCATGTCTGTCGGCCATGCTTTCCGGAAAGAAAGTCGGTGGCACGCGATCACCACACGATCATTTACAGCGGAGTCTATTACTGAGTGACTGAGACAGACACAGACACAGTTTGTTACTGCTGTAGCATGCATATCTGTGGTGGTGTGCATGTGGAATGCGGCGAATTAGGGCAGATTGGAATCCGTGTTTGGACAGCACCACAACAGCAGCAACTTGCCCACAACACGTTGCATGATCACCCGAAACAGGAATGTGGCAACGGCATTGCACTCATACGTATTGCCAGGCGGATATGTACAGCGTACAAGTAGCATTAGTCCAGCGGGCGCACCTCTTGCATTTGACCGAATATGTATACTCTCACCGCCATTGCCCCGCTTCGGTTCAGCGACTTCTTCTTCAAACCACTGACGCTCATGTAGCTGGCGAGGACTGAAGCCACCCCCCATCGCCCCAAAGGCCACCACTGGGCCAGTTCGATGCCCATGCAAGACAGCACAACACACGCGGCAACAGGAGGAAGGAGGAGGAGTGGCCTCTGATGCCTGGTGCCGGATCCCATAATGTAGTCGATCTCGCCGCATCAGGTACTATCCGCGAGCCCCCCCCCCGCTCGTCCCCCAAGTCATCCCTCGTCATCCAACACCAAAGCCAACAGGCCACAACGAACTGCAGCCTACCAACTGCTGTGTATTCGCCTGGGCCGGGGTAGCTGGCGGGGGTGGTGAGCCTTGACGCTGGTGGGGATCGGATTGCGGGACGTTACCGGATCACCTCGACACTACAACTACGCACAGCAGCACCAACGGAGCAGCGTATTTGTCGGAGGGATGGGATGCAGCGGCAGGCGAGTTGGTTCGCGTGTATGGGGTGGAGCATAGCCGTTGGAGACGCAGGGTGTTGGCTGTTTGCCATCGAAGCAGTCAACTGCCACCTGCTGTCGCTCTCTGCTGCTGCAAATTGTGCCACGGGACTGCAATTTCGGGACTCAAATCATGTCACCCTACGCAAGCGTAGTTGATGTTGGCGTCAAGCTCTGGCACACCCCGCCAAGCTCGCTGTCGTTCCTCTTGCTCCGCCGGCCTACACTGTAACTGTCGCGCAGTTGCTTCGAAGTCTAGGACGCTGTGCTGTGGGTATGGGGGGAAAGCATGTGAATCCAGGAAAGGCGAACTGCAGCAGTTTTATACCTGGCGTACTACTGTATCCCGAAGACATGTTCATCAGTCGCAAAATCATCATCTAAGCGGCATAGTCTATTTAGTCTACAGACCGACCAGAGAGTGCGAAGCGGCACCCTCTCTTCCCTGACGGTCTGACGGTGTACGAGGTGATCCACTCCTGCTGCTGCTGTTCATATCTACGATGCGGCTGTACTAACGTGTCCTGTAGCAGCACGCGCGCGCGCACACACACACACACACACACATGCAACCTAGGATGTTGGTATCTTCCATGCTGGTCAAGTGTATCCACGTGAGCTTTTTCGCTCCGCTCAAGGTTTTCAGCACTTCCAACGCAAGGTCGTCTATGGTATGCACACAAAACCTATGAATCCATTGCTAATCCGTCTCAGACTATTTTCTATGATAGAGATGGTTTCGTTGTGTCATATTAAGAAAAAAACAAAAAAAACAGAACACGCTTCCGGCTGCGTCGATTGAGAGACAACTGCGGTGCTCTCTTTGAAAATGTGTATATATCTCGCGCTGGCGAGTACGTAAAACCCGTCGACCTCTATTAATAGTGCTGTTTGCATCCTTCGGCGCCTCGACAGGATGACACGAACCCGAACAAATATGACCCTCGCTGCAAGATAATGTTCTGTAGCAGAGAAACCCACGCGGCGAAGCGGCGATACACGCCCCATCACTTGAATAACTATTTCGTCTGGGCCTCAACCGGTGCATCCACAAGCTCGTTCCTCCCTGATGGTTGTTGTTGTTGTTGGTGGTGGTGGTGGTACACGTTACAAACCGTCACAGTCATTCTGTGCTCAGTGCCTTCCGTACTGGTTCAACCATTGCGGACTCGGTCCGTGGTCGGAGGCTAACTACAGTACCCCAAATCGTATTAGGTATTTGATTACCAACCAAGAGACAACTATTCAGTAAATCAGCGCGGCGCCAAAGCGGTAGCGTGAAATTATTAACCACAGAGGAGGTCATCAGTGTATTTTGGTTCCTGAAATTTCCCGTATTCAGCGGACACACACGTATGCCAACTTGTTACCTTTGCATGTGGCACCTCGCACCAGACGCGAGCCCAATAGCACAGTCGGGTGGGGGCACGCACAACACGACCTTTGCCTGGGTGACTTGCTCTTGGACCCACAGCTGATGCCTTTGGGCACGAACGAACGTAGGGCCCGTTTTGACGTGTGTGCAGGCAGAGGTTGGGCTATCGGATCTGCAGCATGCCGGGGCGGGGTACGGCCACACACAGCGACACCCAATTTCGATTTGTTTACGTGTTTGACGTTTATGAGGTTGGCGGGCTGCCAACACGTTGGCGCTGCTATGTAATACCTCCGGCTGTACCACGACAGGTGCTGCTGCTATGTTTTTTTTAGGGTGTGAGAGATCAAGGCGCCTCCTTAATATACCGTTTGTTTTTGAGATTTCGACGACGAAGCAGCACGTGCTGGCGTGCGGGCCGAAGAAGCGCTCGCCAACGCAAAGCGAGCAGCAGCAGCAACATCACGACCAATTACAACAACCGTTACAATTACAGCGATAGAATCGCGTGTACAACAGCATGTTACGACTAACGAAAAACGGTTACAACATTTACGCCCGCTGTGCACCGCTTTCATTGCCACTCCACGACCCGACCGACCCCGACGAAACGCGAACAAACGACAAAACCAGCAAGGGGACTGGAGGAGGGGTGCGGGGCGACCAGTTCTTGGCGGAGCTACCGTCGACGGCGCCAGGCAACAGCACCAAGCAGAAGAGCTTCGGCCTGAGCCGCAGCCTGGCGTGGATCCAGGAGACCAACTTCGAGGACAAGTTCGAGGTCGTCAAGGTTATCGGGTACGTACGTGGGGAGGGGGACCGACCACGAAAAGGCCTCACATCGCCATCCGCAGTTATCGCGGCGTCTGCTTTTTAGGAACAGGGCAAGGGATTCACCGCCACCAACAAGCGCGCAGTCTGCTTTTAGGAAGAACGAGGAGAGGTTTTGTTGTTGAGCCTCTGCTGTTGCCGCGCTGGTGGTGGAACTGGCTTGCTGGTCTTTTGAACCCCCTGAACGAACGACTGTTCGCGCCGTGCATACATTTAGTCGATTTCGCAAGATTTTCAAATTTCGAACCCTGCCCGAGTCCGAAAACAGTGGATCCGATCCATCCGGAAGAGGACCTGCACTTTTGGGCGGTGCTCCCGCATGCGCCCTTGCTGTTGTGGTGCCCCTCGTGCTTGGACCCGTGCTCGGTGGAGTGTAGCGAGTTATGATGGGCGTTTCCGGCAACTTCAATCCCGTATATTTTGTATAACGCTTTGCATGCACGCTGATTTGTAGCTACAGGCGTCGCTTAGGGACCCACCAACACCACCGGTAGCGTCGGGTGAGAGAGAAAACATCGTCGTCCAGGCTGTAGCTTTGGTTTGAGTGCAAACCGTGAAAGGTGCAACGTGAGAGCTGCCGGGCAAGCACCAAAACACGAGGCCTTGGCCGCAACTCGCGTCGCATCAAACACGCACCGCCCGCCGCGGTTGGCTCCAGTACCAAGCAAGGTTTTGGGGCGAAGCGAAGAAATGGCGTACATTCTTTGTGCCGTAGGTATAATATATATATATATATATTGTTATGCCGTAGGTACATATATGCAAGGACGTTATTGACAGGAGACAGGTCTCGTTCCCATGGGCGGGGGCCTTCGGGTGGGGCCAGTCGTGCCTACAGCAATTTGTTGGATGCGCTTTTTTCACGACCGTCCACACGCGTGTGTGCTGTCGCCACGTGCTTCCATTTTGATTCTCCCTGTCTGCCGTGCCCCCCTGCTTCCCTTTTGCCGTCCCTCTGTTCATTTTCGTTACCCTGTACTGCTGTACCGGTTCCCTGGCTTCTTTTCATTTGCGTCCTTTTTTAACACTCTGGAAAGGCAAGGGAGCATTGGCGAGGTGTCCATCGTCCGACGGAAGTCGCTCTGCTCTAGCGCGCACGGCGGCAGCGCCCACGGCCGCGTGAACAGCTTCTTCGACGGCCACCACCACGGCAAGGCGGGCGTCCAGAGAGACCTCTCTCACGTGACGTCACCGCCTATCGAGCTCAAAGACCCCTCGTTCGGGGACGGGGAGGGGGGAGAGAAAGGGGCGTCCGCGGGCCCCCCGCCGGTCCCGTCGGGCGGCACGGTGAGAGCGAAAGGGAGACGCACGGGTGTAAGGGTGGCATGCCGTAGCAGCAGCCAGGCACGACTAAGCGTCAAGACGGCGGACCAGACAGACACACAGGATAGGATAAGACAGGGCAGGGCAGGACAAGAGAGAGAAAGAGAGTGACAGACAGATACCTACGAAGGCGACGGGTTAAGAGAGGCGCACCTTCTGTGGTTAGATGTGTTGACGGGCGTCCAGATGTAGGTTGGAGGCTGTCGTTTCGCCGGGTGGCTGTGTCTCGTCTTTGTCACCGGCGAGTTCGTTTTCTTGGGGGCCAAGGAGAGGGATGTGTTGCGGCCACCGCCTTACCCGTCCGAGACCTCCTGAAGGGTATTTTGATCCTACGGGCACGGTGAACTTGTGATGTAGTGGAGGTTGGAGGTTTTGTTTTTCAAATACCAACATCGTCCCCGCACCCTCGCACGCCCTCCGCGCGTGCCGCCTTGGTCTTGTCGTCGCCCACCGTCGTTGCGGGGTGGTGGATGTCCAGGGTGAACGCCTGTACGCCATGAAGTCCATCCACGTAGCGCGTCTTCACAAGCTCCGGGTGGAAGAGTTCAAGAACGAGGTATGCGGGGGGATTGAGGCCGTTTCGTTGTTCCCGGAGGGGTTGATTTGTGCGCGCGTGCGTCCGCTTCGGCGTGTCATTGTTGGGTTGATGTCGTCGGTAATGCTGCCACCGCCGCCACCACCGCAGCAGCGGCGGCGGCGGCGGGGGCGACAGCAGAGAGCTTCCAAGACATGCAGTCGCGGGCATGCCAAGGGCGGGGAAGTGTGTGTGTTGTTGTCATGCACGGTTGCGAAAACAAAGGTATGTGGTATCGCTGCGCTGTTTCTGCTGCTAGTAGAACTATCCAAAGACTGAGCCTTACAGGACTATTTTGAAATATTCCATGTTTGGCGAGCGCTTCGTTCGTTTTTTTGGTCGTTCGTCTCGTGAACGTCACAGTTTTGCCCTGCCAGATCCGCGTTTTACGCAGTAATAACGTCTTCTCGGGTCATACCCAACCAGCTTCGTCGCATGTTTACCGCTGCTGGGCGCCGCTCTTTCTGTTGCCCTCGCCGCCTTACCGTTCTCCCGCCCTAAGTTTCAAGTTTGTTTGTTTCC